TAAATAGGAGTGTGACAGAGCTGACCAATAGGTGTTCGCCATATAGATCATGTGACCTACAATTTTTCGTCCAATGCTTGTATCATTGTTTACGTGTACCATGCTACCTACTTTGCATTATTATACATGTCTGCCGTTTGTAAAACAAGGTACATTTGTACACACCATGCTAGATTATTAAAAACATAATTCACTAATCTGGGCTCAATATTGAATGTTTGCTGTGAAATCCAGAAACTTTAATAATTGCAGCTGTGCGGCCACTCATGATGCGTCTGTCTAGATGCGTGTGCATATTGAAAGTTACTTTGATTACGTGCGAAATAATCTTACCAGCGATAAAAAATGATATACCCTTAGTCTTGCTATACTATATATGCTAGTTATTGATACATTTACAACCAACTCCTTAAATAACTTCGATTTTGTACATTATTTGTACAGTCGAAGTAAGAGTGCGATAACTCAAAAAATAGGCTTGATCAAGCAAAGTTTTCAGTATCTACATGTACATGACAAATTTGGTTTATTTCTGTATTTATAAAGATTTTTCCAAACTAGCACATAAGAATTTACACTAAAATAATGAGGACTTGATTATTTGGCACTCCACCGTCAACTACGAATACCATAAACAACGTTCATGCCTGAGAACTCCTGTACACGGTGTGTCTGAAAATTGATTGCATTTTGTCATACCCAGTCTATTCTATAGTGTAATGCATAAATTATGTAAATTAGGGTCAATCTAGCTTCGCGCAAGGTCGTCATTTGACCAATCAGTGTTTGTTTAACTTCTGCTCGCGTGCAGTTCAATATCTGTTTTTACCGCGTTCCTGTTACAGTCATTTGGGAAATAAATGGTATACAGGTTGTGATTGTATCGTTATCGGAAAACTTAACCGTCTGTATTTCTGTGACGTTATTCACAACCCATGTAACTATTATAGTAAACCTACATTTCATTTACATCATTCCACAAATCTTTCGAAGCAGAGTGTACCACTGATCCAACACTTTTTGCTTAACGTCTTTGGTACAACATGTAATCGGTTGTCTTGTTAGTAGCCAGTCATTGAATAAAATATCATTTGGTGAATGCAAGACAAATACAGATTATATACCTGGACATTTGTTAATTAAAAAAATTAAAAAACCCAACCTCTTTATTTACTTTCAAAATAAATTAATTTGTAGTTTAAATATTTCCTTAAGTGATATAACATGCTCGTATTTCAAACTTTTTTACTATGTATAATATGCTACCACATTAACCCAACCCTTTGATTTTGTGATTGAAGATTTAGTGAAAAAAAGTAAAATACGTCGCATATTGTCATATGATTAAAATACTTGAATTCAATTGGCTGAAATAAGATGTAGGCGATACGAGTTTCATATACGTAAAGGAAATTTCCATCATGGAATGTACATGGGCGAGACTACATCTGGAGAAACCTAAACATCCAAATTAAGGTTTTTGAAATTCCACGACAATGCAAGTTTGGTTAATGTGCTTTTAATAAAGAAATTACAGTATTTAACTTTTTTGGGGATGAATTTGAGGCTAATGCTATATACCAGGCTTGAAATTTGGAGTTGAGAGAGCATCCATTTTTAAGGTTAAATTTATAAAATGGCCTTAACACATCAGAATAACGGAGAATATCAAAAGGCACTGGGGCAAACTCAATGGGCAGCAGTGCAATACTTTGATATCTTCATGAAGTTCAAGCCTTGTAAATACATGTAAGAACTATATTTCAGTACGATTTCTGTAAAAAAAATTACTACATATTTGAGTGCTATAGCCTTGATATTCAAATTATCATTGTAGCCTATGTCCCTTAAATCTGTATTAGAAGCCGCATCCGTAATAGAAGTCGCACCCATTATTTTTGAATAATTAAGAATCAAAATTTCACCATTTCTCATATGCGTAGATGCTCTATTAAAAGCTGCGGCTTCTAATAGAGATTTTACAGTAATAATAATCATCTTTATTGTTATCATATCCTCTATGGGACTTTGATAATAAAATACAATAAAGGCATAGCAATGAAAAAAAGTACTGTGGAATACTTTATTTTTGCTGGAATTAATTTTCGCTGAAAAGGCTTTTTGGGCGTTTTGCTTGGAATTTATTTTCACTGATTTGTCATGAGTTTAATGTGAAATATAGAAAAAAAGTATATTCACTGGATTTTATTTTCACGGAATCATCCCTTCAGCGAAAATAGCGAAAATAAATTCCAAGCGAAAATAAAGTATTCTACGGTATAAGAGTATAAACATTATTTAAAGTAAATAGAATATAAAAATTAAAGTAAATTTTTTTATTTATTTTAAGGGCAGCTACCTCAAAATAAATAACAAAATTTACTTTAATTTTAGTATTCTTTTCAAGTTGTTCTCTTGAATTTTAAAACAATCATGTACATGTATGTACATGTACTTACATGTAGCAGTTTGAGGAACCAATATGATATACATTTTGTACTATCGTTGTTTAGTATTTCAACTATTTTTTTTTTGTCAGGAAGTTTTATCAGCAAAATTTTGAGAAGCTCATTTCTTCTTTACATGTACCTCTGCTGTCGACTTTGTCGAGCAGAGCTTATTATATGAGTGATTGTCCTCTGTCGTCGTCCGTGTCAATGTTTTACTTTTTCGACTTCTTGAAAACAACAAGCCTGAATGCTTTGATACTTGGTGTATATGTACCTTGGGTAGACCTCTCTCAGATTTGTTCATTTCATGATCATATCTTCAATTCTCTAATTTTGGTGAATATTTTTGTCATTTTTGGTAAAAAGTGATATTTTCGACTTCTTGTTAAAAACCGCAAGTCAAATTTCTTTGATATTACATATATAGGTACTACATGTGGACTTCTTTCAGATTTGTCCCGTTGCTTTTTATATACATATTGTTCATTTTCTAATGATATCTTCTGTTCTTTAATTGAAATGTGCATTGCTAACAGCGGAGCTATCTCATCCGAGAGGCTGCTTGTTTTTATAAAGGCTGCGTTTAAGAAGGAAGTGCTCTTCATTTTCTATTTTGTTTAATTGACAAATCTATTTATAATTTAATTGTAGTGTGAGACCTACATTTAACCTGGTGTACATATATACATGTAGTTGTAATATGATACACATGATTAGATGAGTCATGAAAAATGAAATATCATTTCACAATTGAAATGTTCTGACTCATAGCCTCACATATACATGTACATCAGTGTCATTAATTTTGTTGATGTAGCATGTTCACAAGAAAAATTAAGTATTTCAGAACAAAATTCCAAAATTGAGTAGTCGAGAAAATTGTACACTGTATTTCATCATAAAGATATTTATATTTTCTTTATTAGTACATGAAATAAAATACATGACACAATGGATTTCGTTCATTAAATTGTTATGTGACACTGTAATTCGTATTGATGCTTCTGTTACCATGGTTTATGAATAAATTATAGCAAGGGATACAATGACATCTTTAGATTATGCTTTGAGCAGTGCCTTGCATGTAATTTCTTTAAACATTTTTTTCTCTGTTCAAGGAAACACTCTTCAATCCGTTTAATATTATTATTTTCCTTTTTTTTGTTTGGCTTAATTGCTCTTTGGCTATAGGTCTTAATCAACATTCTTGAAAAACTATGGAAAAACATTTTGGATTTATTTTTGATATTTCAGTTATTTTTGATATTTCAGTTATTTTTGATATTTCAGTTATTTTTGATATTTGAAATATTTCTTGTTATTAAAGTCAGTACATGTACCTTGAAAATTTGGAAGACCTACATGTTCATTGTATGTTGGAATAACCAGTAGTCTAATACTGTGAAATAGTTGTGTGTGCAATGCTTTATCTATTGTGTTATGCAGTCCCACATGACTGTGAAAATAATAAATTGTACTGAAATTTAGTTTTCTATAAACAGCGGCCATATTGGATTAAGAATTACGAATTTCACTTATGATTATTACATCTATACTCCAAGTACCATTAAATTTCTGAAAAGCTTTTCCATAAAAAAAAAAATCTTAATATTCTTGGATTCATTTCATTACATATTGTACAGTTAGTCATAGAGTGAAAGAAAAAGAAAAATTGCATGCAAAATCAAACTGTATGTAGCCCCAGTCTCGTCAGGCCAGCTCAGGTGAAGGTCAGACCAGGGTCAGGGAGATATTAATTAATTGAACTGTGGGTGAGACTGGGTTGAGTTAACTTCTCCACTATGAGTCTTCTCCTGATACTGCATGATCAGGATTGGCAAGCGGCATATACCAGTGATGAGGGCGCTGTTCACACCAGATAAAACTAGCTCTATAGGGAATACCACAGCAGCAATCACTATCAACACCATATACTATATGGGGCACAAACACTGTCACACATGTCGCTCATCCACAAGAGGCGACAATACCATATATTAAGTTGAAATTATTGGGAGGTTTATTAAGCACACTGATCTCTCAAGCTATTAAATGGATAACATCAATTCACAAGAGCAAAACAAACAACATTTCAGTCTTGATACCCACTGTAAACAGTACTGGCATATAAGTCTTATCACAACACTTAATATTAATGCACTAACCTTATTAACCTAACATCCAACTGACTAAATCTATCAGCTGTTGAGAAATATTAATGCATCAAGCTTATTAATCTAACAGGCAACAGGTCGAAAAAATATACTTCGAAACTCACAACGCTATTTGCGGGAACGTGAATTTGCATGTGACGTATGACCACTTTGATTGTCACAGCAAGGAACTTAGTCGTTGGCGTGACCAGCACAGGAAAAAAGTTAGGACCTCATGGAAAACTACCCAAAATACAAACAAAAAATAGAATAAAATTCTACCAACCCATACGTGTGATCACAGTAAATTTGTTAATCTAACAACGGGGACTTACTTCACCTCAGTGTGCCTGTCAATTCTTTTTTAACTAAAGGTAAAATCTCTTTTGTAATTCAGCTTGTCAGCATGACGAGTTCAGTTGCAATAATGGGCAGTGTATAGACACAACGTGGATTTGTGATGGCATAGAAGACTGTCTGGATGCATCAGATGAAGTTGGCTGTACTGGTATGTATATTAATATTCAGTCCCTGAAACACACACACACACACACATGTGATATGTGATAATGTGACAGGTCACTGATAGCATATAGTTGTTGGTCGCATCGGACTCATGATCGGTAGATCCAAGTTCAAATCCTACCTTAGGCTGAACATCAAAAGAATCGACCCCTACCCTTGGTGAGTGTGCCACAGACTCAATGGGTAGGCAAATTCCACTGGCCGAGATTCATTCACTAACGAACTTCAGTAATTTCTCGTTTCAGCACAACAGTGTATTGATGATGAATTCAGATGTCCATCAGGGAGATGTATTTTATCTGAATGGGTTTGTGATGGTGATGATGACTGTGGAGACAATGCTGATGAGAGTCAAAGTTGTCGTAAGTTTACGCTTCGTCTTAGATTTGGTAATCAGCTTCCCTGCATGAAATCATCCATCTGAAAATTGTTGCTATGGGCAGCATAGCACAGTTATGATTGCCCTTGAAGTTTCAATGATAAAATTATTGTTTTTAATATTTTAATTAATTTAATTTTCGTCTCCATCAGACGTAGTCTGAAATGATGTCATATTTCAGACATCCTTGGAGATGTCCGATGTTACGTACAAATTTAAGTCATGGTATATATGTATATGTGCATGTTGATCAGTTTGTTTTTTGTTTTGATGACCTTTCACCTACTGGCAGTTTAATATTTTACTCTTCGTAATGTAACATTTGAACATGTCAACTGTTTCTTAGACTTGCCTCGGCGAAATGTCATCCAAACTTGGTAGTGACATCACTCATAATGGATTTCTCATACACATTCATGACAAATTTGAAGAAAAGCACAATTTTTATAACAAGGTTAAAATAAAAATACCAATAAAAAAACAATACCTCATGAGATTTTTTTTGTTTTGTTTTTGAAATTTTTTTTTCAGCTGAGCATATGTGTAATGATAGCCAGTTTAAGTGTGCAAATGGCAACTGTATTCCAATACAATGGAAGTGCGACCATGAAAATGACTGTAGTGATTCATCAGATGAGTCCAACTGTGGTAAGTTTAGTGTCCTTCGAAAAATTTCATATCAATTGTGACAAAATTGTTGTTTTTAGTCTACGCGCACATGTACACCCAGTCTGAAATAGGGACTTGTGTTTTGGATTCTCCTGTGGCATCCATGGAAATCAAAAATTTGTTTTAAAAATTTTGTCAAACTTGAAATTGACTTTTGGGTTAAAATAATATTTTCCACTTCTTATTGAAAAGTGCGAGCTTGGTTGCTTAATTGATACCTTGGTAAGACCTCCATCAGATTTGTGGCAATATTTATGTTCATAATTTTTTATCAGCTACAATTCTTGTTAAAAATTTGTGTGTCTAGTGGTTACGATTAAATTTGACCTGTTGTTGCATTTTTCACTCTCAGAATACAGAGACTGTGAAAGCACTGACATAACGTGCTTCGATGGTACATGTGTTCCGGCATCCAGACGTTGTGATGGAGTCTTTGACTGCCGAGATGGCACAGATGAAAACAATTGTAACTCAGGTATGATTTGTAATGTCTCGCCACATATTGTTTGCTCAATATAGTAGATTTATGCACTTTTGTAAACATTATTAAACAATAGATTTTATTAATGGTTGCCGAAATCTCATCAAGATGAGAGAGGTACGTGACTAGCTTTTGTACACTGAATAGTGTTCCATTTTCAAACACCATCACGTCTACTGTTCCTGTAGCCATGGAAACCATGATATTTGAAAATGGATGCCATGGCGATAGAGACTATTTGGGAGAAAAAAGCAAGCGGCCATTTGAAAATAGTCTATTAGAGTGTACTTTACTGAATTTTAATCTATTAGCCATAGGTCCTTTAATCTGGGTCGCAGAATATAATTTTTGAAGTTGCATTGATCCTTGAAAAAAACAAAACAATGTCTGTTATCATCCCTGTCATGAACTTTTTTTTTTGTAACTGAAACAAATTAATAAGCCTGATGCATGAACTCTAGGGTTACTCTGTACTTTCTGACTACCGTTAAAGTCCTATTATAAACCGCGGTTTATATTACAATGTATCAATTTAAAAATTGGGATCAAAAGCTCAAGTTCGGGGTGCGGTTTCTATTACGTACATATTGCAATCACTAAATGGGCGTGGTCATTTTTTGTCCACAAAACATGCACAAAACAAACAATACACCGTACAATCTCCTGAATAGGCGTCGGGGAAGAGTGAAAGGCCTTATTTTGGTTCTAAAATAGGCGTTACGAAATGTTGAAAAATTACAGTCAATCAAAAAAATTTCCACATGATACAAAAAATACTCATTATTTTTAATGTAATATGCATTTATTTTTTTAATTTTCTTGGTAACGAAAAGTATATTCTAACATAAGTTTCAATAAAAACACGAATGCACTGCTTAGTAGCAAATGATCACAGAACGGTAGC